ACATCTTTGAATTCCCTAGAATGAGAAAATACCCCTTGAGAGTTTTACATCCCGACATCCGAACGAGAACCAAGATAAAATATTTTAAAAACATGCTTAGGTCTTACCTCCCCATGTTCTCGACCATGCGAAAGATAGACCCGACGAAGCAGTAAGTCTGCTAATTGGACAGAGTACCAATTTGCAAGCAGTTTTGCGATGATGCTGATAAGTTCGAATGCCGTAAATGTGTCGTGGTAACTAGAAATTTGCACGATGTGACACGTTTGGATCATGTAAGAAAGAACCCAGACTTCGTTCTGCTGGTTAAGGTTGGAGACGGTTCGATGTTTTTCGCATATTGATGTTGTGACGACACCGACGAATAAAAGAATCATCTCTTGCCGCCGAGACAAATGGTCGCTTAGAAGTTACTATTCGGCCGCTAGAGCTTCTAGCGCTCCGAGATTTTGTCAGGTCGCCGGAGGCCTATGGCAGAATTCGTACGTGTCTTGCTAATCTCGCTAATTAGATTAGACGGTAGCTGAAATTCCTAGTAGAATAATCGAATACGAATAGAATTGTACATCGAAGTATCGAGCCCTACACGTACGTCCAATGCACACACGTCTCTCGTTCTTTGTCACTAACGTATGTACCAATAATTCCCAAACGAGAGAGAGAGAGACGTGCACTCCATATTCTCGGATCGGTGCACTCCGTTTAAGGTTTTTAACTATCGCATATTCGCAACCATAGCATTAAAAGAAAAAAAAGCACTTTGAAGTTGCATTTCGAAACTTGGGTAACGGCACAAATAAGACGGCACCAACACGGACCTTCGCCTTTAATCTATACTCGACTCGATCCTCTTTTACCGTGCATTCTTTTTGGTAAAGCTAGAAGTGTCCGAACCATTCAACCCTAGTAGTCCGCCCCCCCCCCCCCCCCCACTCACGCGCATCGAGCAAGACTCGGGACACGAGCCCAGGATCCGCCGCATCCGAACCGAGCACTTCGGGCTCCATCTCCCCCATCCGAGCGGCCCGAAGAGAATGGGCCCCGAGGGGAGGAGCTCCTCCCCGCAACGACGGGGGGGGGGGAATCTTCTAAGCACATCCACGCATATATTCCCTCTCCTTCAACGTCCCGACCGACTCCCCGTGCGCACGGGTCAAAACGACACTGGAAACGTGGAGGAGCGACGTCGTTTCGGCTTGGTACGGCTCGTGGGCGGGCGCGGGGGGGGGGGGGGGAGGAGGCGTGAGCTGTCGCCGCCACGTCACGCGAGGCTCGTCTTCGGCAGTTTGAGCTGTCCCTCTCCCCCCCCCGCACGTCTCCTCCTCGTTCATCTCCTTCATCTTCTTCTTCATCTTCTTCACCTTCTCCTTCTTCTCCCTGCATTTCTCTCTCTACAGCTCCGCCTTCTCTCTCTAGCTCGCCATTCGCACTTCCTCCTCCTCTCTCTCTCTCTCTCTCTCTCTCTCTCTCTCTCTCTCGCCATTCAAATTTGTAGGACCCGACTAGATCAGTCAAAATGGGTCATAAACTCGTTTCTTAACCAATATATCAATAAATGAGTCATAAATTGATTAGTTATATTCACTAAATGATCATAAATGGGTATAAACATAATATGAGTGTTAAATAGATCATAAATGAATCGTAAAAAAGTCATAAATGGGTTTACAACCGATTTAAACTCAACTCATCTCTCTTGCCCTCACTCATTCTCGCGCTCGCTCACTCCACATTCTCATCTCAGTTTGGGTATAAGTTTTCCTATATTTAGTTAAATATGGAAGTGTTTTAGCAATATTGATCGAATCGGGTATAAGTTTGGTATGGGTCAGGTATAAGCTGGGTATGGGTCGGGTAGGATATGAGTCATTAGATTTACATCAAATAAAAATGAGTCAAAACGAGTTAAATGGGTCTATTTGGATCGGACCATTTTCAACCCGACCCAAATCCGACCCGACCCACCCGTTTGGCAGGTCTAGACGCGACGCGTCTCGACCGACACCTTGTCATACGGAGTAAGGTTTTGAGGCGGTTCCATAGTATCTTGTTTCGGCGCCGGCGAATAAAAGAATCATCTCTTGCTACCAAGATAATTAGTTGCTAGGAGTTCTTGTCCAGTCGCCGGAGCTTCTAGTACTCTGGAATTTCGTCGAGTCCGCCAGAGGCCCATCGCAAAGAACAAGTTTCATGCTCGAGACAAATGAACTCACTAAAATTCAACCAATGCCTTCGTAACGCAAACAAGTTTCGCGCTCGAGACGAATTGACAAACGGGCCCTCATTCGGAAAAATGCCTTCGTAACGTGAAGATCCAAGAAAGACCCCCCAAAATTTATGCCCGTCGGACCTTATTTTTGGGATCTTGATTGAACGATCTCGCTTTAGTTAGAAGTGTCGGTGGATCTCTCTCCCAAATTGCATCTTCATCTGGCATACGTACGCAGCTACAGGACAACGTGCTTGGGACTCTCGTGTCTTGAGGAACAAGCCTTCGTGTGGGGCATCCATCACATGGCGCGGTCATTGTCGCTTGACGCGACGGACGGTGCCACATGCTTCGTCGAAAGGCATGTCTCCCCCATAGAATCGAGGGTTGATACCTCATCATGCTCTGGACCGTGTGAAAGATGGGCCTCGCTCGCACGGTTTTCCTCGACTTGTCCGTTCGATACCGTTTTGTCGAAATTGCTCCCGCGGCGAAATATTCTTTCACCGAATATCGTTCTTCGGCTTGGAAACGGATTCCGTGATAATTCCAGACAAAAAGTATCCGGGCAGACAGGAAACAACTACAATCTTTTACTTTGAATCGAATCGTATGTACAGACAGTGCCGGGATTTGGTCGACGACAAAGCTTGAAGCTACAGCCACTTTCATAGGAACACGCATACACAAACCATGTTGAAATTTAATTAACGACAAAATTTGAGAACGTGCAAAGATGTAACACTGTAAATCAAGGACACAACACCCAAGATAGAGATATATGACGGAATCTCATCAACGACATGGATCGGAAAGCTACAGCTACTGAAAAATAAAGTGCAATACAGAAAAATTAAGAAAATTGAAAGACAATATTTTGATTGATTTTGTTGGGATTCTCCAAAGAATACGATGTGTCTATTTAAAGTTTATGCTCGACGATTATTAACAGATGTTACAAATAGTGGTTACAAACGGAGGTTACAAGAAGAGGAAGTTGCAACCGAGGTTACAAACAGAAGTTATCAACAAAGGTTACAAACGATTATCGACGGTTATGCTGTCTCCACTTTCTTTAGGTTTATTCGACTCCATTATGTTGACAGTTGTTTTATTACACTACGTTGGCAGTTACTTCTTTGATGATTGCATCCGATTTTGTCGACTAAGTCTTTCGTACATTGATAATAACAAAAAATTAGTCATTTTTTTGTGTAAACAACAGTGACAGCGAGCTCTACGGATATGTTGTTTATTTTAACGTATCGATACTCACACACTCTGCGCCCTCAATTTCTCCTATATCTTTGAATTCCCTAGAATGAGGAAATACTCTTTGAGAGTTTTACATCCCGAGATCCAAACGAGAACCGAGATGAAATATTTTAAAAACATGCTTAGGTCTTACATCCCCATGTCCTCGACCATGCGAAAGATAGACCCGACGAAGCAGTAAGTCGCTGCTAATTGGAGAGAGTACCTATTTGCAAGCAGTTTTGCGACGATGCTGATAAGTTCGAATGCCGTAAATGTGTCACGGTAACTAGAAATTTGCACTATGTGACATGTTTGGATCATGTAAGAAAGAACCTAGACTTCATTATGCTGGTTAAGGTTGGAGACGGTTCGATGTTTTTCGCATATTGATGTTGTGACGACACTGACGAATAAAAGAATCGTCTCTTGCCGCCGAGACAAATGGTCGCTTAGAAGTTATTATTCGGCCGCTAGAGTTTCTAGCATTCCGAGATTTTGTCAGGTCGCCGGAGGCCCATTGCAGAATCCGTACGTGTCTCACTAATCTCGCTAATCAAATAAGACGATAGCTGAAATTCCTAGTGGAATAATCGAATACGAATAGAATTGTACATCGAAGAATCGAACCCTACACACACTTCCAATGCACACGCGTGTCTCTTGTTCTTTGTCACTAACGTACGTACCAATAATTCCCAAACGAGAGAGAGAGAGAGAGAGACGTGCACTTCATATTCTCGGATCGGTGCACTCTGTTTAAGGTTTTTAACCATCGCAACCATAGCATTAAAAAAAAAAAAGGCACTTTGAAATTGCATTTAGGAACTTGGGTAACGGCACAAATAAGGAGGCACCTACACGGACCTTCACCTTTAATCTATACTCGACTCGATCCTCTTTTACCGTGCACTCTTTTTGGTAAAGCTAGAAGTGTCCGAACCATTCAACACTAATAGTTTCGACGGGAGCAGATGCAAAAGCCGCCCACGCGCATCAAGCAAGACTCGGGACATGAGCCCAGGATCCGCCGCATCCGAACCGAGCACTTCGGGCTCCATCTCCCCCATCCGAGCGGCCCGGCAGCCCGAAGAGAATGGGCCCCGAAGGGAGGGGCCCAGGCCCAGCTCCTCCCCGCAACGACGGGGCCAGGGGGGGGAATCTTCTAAAGCACATCCGCGCATATATTCCCTCTCCTTCAACGCGCCAGCTCATCGTTGCGTTTCGTTCCGACCGACTCCCATGCGCACGGGGTCAAAACGACACTGGAAACGTGGAGGAGCGACGTCGTTTCGGCTTAGTACGCTCGTGGGCGGGGAGGAGGCGGGAGCTGTCGCCGCCACGTCACGCGAGGCTCGTCTTCGGCAGTTTGAGCTGTCCCTCTCCCCCCCGCAACCGATTTTTTGCGTTCCAACCTTCCTCTGTTCTCGCACGTCTCCTCCTCCTTCATCTCCTTCATCTTCTTCTTCACCTTCTCCTTCTTCTCCCTGCATTTCTCTCTCTACAGCTCCGCCTTCTCTCTCTAGCTCGCCATTCGCACTTCCTCCTCTCTCTCTCTCTCTCTCTCTCTCTCTCTCTCTCTAGCTCCACTTCCAGCTCCGCCTCCGTCTCCGCCTTCGCCTTCGCCTTCGCCGCCGGCATGGGGATTGCCAAGACATTCAAGGACGAGTTCTCCTTCGGTTCGTCTCTCTCTCTCCCTCCCTTCCTTCTCTTGCTTCCTTTGATTTTCCTCTCCGTGTTCCGTGGATTTTCCGCGGTGAATAATTCCTTGATTTTTCGACGGTGAATTGCGCGATTCTCATCGAGTTCTGTTTTTCGTTTTTTTTTTTTTTTTTTTTTTTGGGTGTTCCCGATTTCTCGGGGGGCGGAGCAGATAAGCGGTTGGAGGAATCGAAGAGCATCGTCGTCAAGTATCCCGACCGAGTTCCGGTAAGTCTTCCCGATCGATTTTGCGCCGCGGCGAAATTTGGCTTCCGCCGCAAGTCAAGGCGCGTTTCGCGTGTCGCGCGATCTGTTTTCGATCGTGAAGTCGCAATGCTCGTTTCGAATGCTCGAGATGTCTTCGTGCTTTTCGCTTTGCTTTCTTTTCCTGGTTGCGTGCGCGATCGGGTTTCGGTCGGGGAAGTCAACGGGTTTCCCCCACCCGCTGATTGATTTGACCGGGGGGGAAGGAAGAAATTAAAAGGGTACACTTTTCAAAAAGGGTTCTTTCGGGGTTCTGATTGATTGAGATTGTTGGAACTGTTTGAGAAGTGGGATGGGGGGTTAAGGTCATGATTTGCTTCGTCGGGTTGTTTAGGATGCGTTTGGTGCTGGAACTCGGATGAAAAGGAGGAGGTTGGACATCTGAAGTGAAACTCTAACGTGTGATAAAATGGGATGGCTGTGATTGGACATCTGAAAGTGAAACTCTAACGTGTGTAACGTCGCGGTGACTCGGCCGTGAAGAAATGCGGGGTCTTGTGCATTAGGAACGGCCCGGTATGCGATTAGCTTTAAGAGGGCGAAGAGGAATAAACCAAGCACGTTCGACGGATCGCGTCGCTCCTTGTCGTTGCACCGACCACCGACTGGTAGTTTGTAGGAAGGAAACCGTTATAGTAATATCTCCAACCTAAAAACAAAAAAAAACAAATGTATTCGTACTTGTGCTTTTCCGATGATTTGACCGCCGCAATTGTCATGCCTTTTTTCGGGGGGAGGGTTAACTCTGGTTCTTCTTGTAGGTGATCATCGAAAGATACTCGAGGACCGATCTGCCGGAAATTGATAAGAAAAAGTAATTCTCCCTGCTTGACTTTGCTTCCTTACTGTAGATAAGCTGGCAAGCTTTGTTTAACATTTGTATTGGGTTAGGCCGAAGGGATTATAAACTCACGAGTACATCATCAAGTAGAATTATTGCCTCTTTAAGCCTTCATGCTCGATACTATTCCCAGGTCTGAAGTCAAGTCTGTTGAATACTTGCAAAGAAAAGCATTAGCATGTCATCTACATGATTAGTCTCCCTTGTGTTCCTGAATTGGATGCTTTTCTGGGAATGGTGAACGATGCATCGGCGGATTCTAATACAAGAACATTAAGTTTCTGCTTGGACAGAGAATCTACATACACGTTCTCATGTCTGACACACAGCAAGTTCGCAACCTTGTCTTACTATCCTTTTTTACTCGTTTTTGTTGCGTAGATTTCTCGTCCCATGCGACATGTCCGTAGGTCAGTTCATCCACATTTTAAGTAGCAGGCTGCACTTGACCCCGGGGAAAGCTCTATTTGTATTTGTCAAGAACACCTTGCCACCAACAGGTAATGTCTTAATCATGCACAATGTGCATTCCATTCCAATTCTTTTTTATCTAGTGCATTTGGATAGAACTGCTAATCGGGTTAATTGTCTTTCATTTTTTTCAGCAAGTCGGCTGGACATCATTTATCAGTCTTTCAAGGATGATGATGGCTTCCTGTACATGTGCTATAGCAGTGAGAAGACCTTTGGCTAAGCTGTACAAATGTCTCCCTGCAGGTCCCCTTCCTTTTAGTGAATGCTGGGGATCCCATTAACTGGAATAACCTGCTGATTCTCTCAGCACTTTGACATTGTAAATTATGTAAATTTGTACATTCTGTGATTCAATAAAACGAAGGTGCTGCATAGTTCCTTTGCGCTTCGACCGATTAATGGTTCTAACTTCTCAAAGAGGAGATCTCTGCTTTACACGCCCATCATTTGCCTCCAGCATATGATCTACTAGAGTAAATTATTCAAAGAACACAGCATCGTGGAAATCTAAATTAGAAGTGACCGCAAGTTAAGAAGCTTGTATGATGATGAGTAGTCTCACTTTTGAGCACAACAATGCAGGGAAAACCTTGGAAACATACAAGTGTAAATATAGTATGTGCTATTGCTCCAATCATGAGGAAGAATTTGTAATTTAAGTGGCATCCATAACTAAGAAACAAAAGCTGGAGTATGCACTTCCCCAGAGAACTAGACAAAAGGAGAAAAAAAGACTTCACTCACGGTGCGATCCCCACTGAAATTGAATGAGCAACAGCAAGTAAATACATCATCACACAGACGACCCGTCAGGTTTAGGCCTTCTGTACCCCAGGCTGACTAGCTTCTGTATCAATAGTCTCTCAGCATCTGCCTGAAAATCCAAAAGGAAGGATATTTATGTAGATATGAAATAGCACAAATGGAAAGCACCAATCCAGCAGCAAGTATGGGCTGAAAGCAGGAGCAGCATGAACAAGCGCACACCCGAGAGAGAGAGAGAGAGAGAGAGAGAGAGAGTCAACCTCGAGCATGGGGTTATTTTTCGGGATATTGCAAGCAAGGATGATGTTGAGACCCGTCTTTACGACTGAGAAGCGAAAAATGTTACCCAATGGAGCAAAGGGTTAGTCACAAATATGATAGACAAGTTTGTTACCTGATCTTCTAGCAATCCCAGACCCTGTATTATCAGAAGCTCCGCCGAGTATAGAAGTCACACTAACAAGGTTGGCCTGTATGCAATCAGAGGAATTGTCAGTCCACGAGAGGTGTGGTAAATATATTCAACAACTGTACCCCGCATCTTACAGGTCGCGTAGATGCAGCTGCATAGAGACGTCCCAGCTTCAAAGAGTTACAACCTATCCATGCATAGATCTACAGTCATGAAGAAAGGCATAATGGTCAATGAATAAGAGCAATGAGAAGCAGCTACAACTCGTAGCAAATCCTATTGGAAACAAAGTTCACGTATATTATTATCAATCTCAATGAAGTTGCCAGTACTGTAATATCACCAACAACTGTTGCAGATGAAGAAAAATTAAGCCTTCATAGGCGTGCCTCCGACAGAAAACCTTAAACTTCCATTTCAGTGTAGCAAATACAAGATGGACCTTCTTTTTTCTCTTTGATCAGATATAAGACAGCATATGAACAGAGAGCTCCAATAAAATGCTACTAGCAAACAACAATCAGAGTCATTGAAGCTGATTATTAAATCAATCTAAAAGTCGCTCCATCAGCATGTAAACTGCAACTGAAGTTCAGATGATACATGGAGATATTATATGTTTGCCTTTTCACTTTCTGATCCCAGTAGAAAAAACAGAATCTCACGCATAGAGTTTAGACAAATCTCCTAGACCATGCATGTTGCAGACTAGAAGTCTAAGAAACTCCCAATACATTGCATCCAATGGATTGATCAGTGAGCACTACTGAAGTATCAAACAAGAAATCCACATTCATCTCATTATTTCACCAAGTACCCCATTATAGATGTGCCCTGGTATGGAGATTGTAAAATCACATTTTCCCAGTAATCCTCGCACCAGATTTTCTATATTACCATATCAATAACTAAGTCCAGCACATTGAATGGTTGGAAGTTTCGCCAATCCAAAAGCAAAATTGATCGGGCTATGTCAAGTGCACAAATTCCCAAAAAAACATCTAAGTGAAAAGCTGAACCAAAAACATGCAGTTTAAACCTCCAATAAAATCGCCGTATGTAGCTTTACCATCTCACTCAAAAGCACTGTAAAGCAAGACTAAAAGCAACACTAGGAGAGAGAGTTTCTCAACTAACCTGCTTTTGGAGGCGGATTATTTGAAAATGAAGAGTTGAATCGTTGACAACTTCACTGAAGCATGTGATCTGAATGCCACTGTCATTCTCGGAAACACCTTGTTGAGTGTCCTCGGAGATTGGGGCCGAGTTGCAGGAGTCGCTTAAATTCAATCCATCAATACCCAAATCATCATGAGTCATTGCAAAAGAGATTATGGAGTTCAGTGCTTGCGATGATTTAACCTATAAGACTCCAGCAAGAACTCTCCCTTGGCAAGGTTCTTCTATGCTTGACCAACAAAGTCCCTAATGCAAACAGCGACCAAAAAAAGTTACATCCAATGTCGAAATATATTTATGGTATTAGTTAGTGGTAAATCTGTCATATGGGTAGGTCGGGTAGGATTTGGGTGAGTAAAAAATTAGACCGATTAAACTTAACCCATTTTTACGTAACAAATCTTTAACGACTCATTTCTGACACAACCCGAACTCCAATTCTTAGCAAATATTGCTTTTGAATACAGAAATAGCATAAATAACAAGAAACCAATCAATTGAAACCAAACTTCAATTCTCTTTCTCATAAACTCTAAGCCAATCGCTCCTTGCTATATTCCTTTCACATGTGCTTCATAATGAGTAGAGGTAACTAAGCAACTCATTAATAGCTGGTCCTCTACAAGAATGATGGCACTTTTCGTTATCAATTTCTCTAAACACAGTTTGGTCGAAGTACCGTCATCACCCGTCAAATTTTCCAAATTCAGACCATGACCGTAGAACCGAACTGCATATTTTTCGATCTTCGAGAGCAAATAGAGTTATCTTCCTCGCAATCATGAACTAAGGAGTGATCTCTACGCGTCTTGAATCTTTGGGCAGTCGGGTTATCTTCTCGATCGTCTTTCAGTCTCAGATAACATGAGCTAGAACGAGTTACGAATGATGAGAGAAAAAAGATAAATACTGAATCTCTGTCGAACATTAAAACAAACACTTGGTGTGCAAAGCTCAGAGAACCCTGTATGGTTAAGAAGAACACGAAATCGCCCCCGCAGATCACGGAAACGGAACACCGAATCGCGGTGACCACGACAAAAGAAGAACGCGCGACTAGAGAAGCCGTAGTGAAATGGGCGGCGCACCTGTCACGCAGTCCGCCGGACCTCGGCGGAAGACGGAAGCGCAACCCCCTCTCGCGAGCACCAAATTTTCACAGAGAAAACTTTTGAAGCGGAGGATGATGGATGAATTGTTTATGTCATTTTTCTTCATTGCGATAATTTTGTTTTAAGTATATAGAAGATCACAACAAAAAATAATAATAATAATAAACTAATATGAGAAAAAAGAAATATATATATATATATATATGATAGTCAATAGGGGGTTGGTATGTCATTTTAATGTCTCGATATCGACAGATGATTTCTTGAAATACTTCGTTCCCTTTTTTTTTATGTGTTCATTAAAAGAGGATCAACTCGTAAAGTTAATACACAAATGATTTATCAATCCTGATAATTAAGAAATGTCTGACTCTCCGTAACAGCTCTCGTGTTTGATATCGCTCGAATGTGTGAGATAGTATAGCTCGAACTGTACCAAAGTTCTCTGACCCTGCGAACATATGCAAAATACGACCTCCCTCGACATTGTTGGGTATTCCATTTTGGTTATCTCGAAAAAATTTATGATATTATTCGAAATTTCTAAAATCAACATGAGACGTGAAAACTTTAAGCTTTTAGAATTTCGAAAAAGCATGCAAACTGCAAGATTTAAATTAAATAAAAAAGTATTTTGACCAAAAAAAAAGAGTATAAAAATGATTAATAATTTTGGGTAGTAGTAGATTCCAGAACTTACGCGCACGCGGGAGGCCGCGGACGGTGTCGCGAGACGCATTGACCAGAATACCCCTCCAACAGTCTCGAATTTCCAAACAAACCCTCCACCATGTAACAAAACGACCAGCAGCTGCTCTCTCTTGCTCGCTTTCTTCACACCACACCGGCGCATTTCGCATCACCTGCAGTTTCGTCTCAAGATCAGTCCCGAGCGCCCGATGGGGACGACGGCGGCGGCGGCGGCGGCGGAGGCGGCGGCGTCGGCGGCGACGCAGGCGTACGGCGAGCCGTGGTACTGGGACAGGCGGTACGAGACCGATTCCGGACCGTTCGATTGGTACCAGAAGTACCGCTCCTTGGCGCCCCTCGTCAATCTCTACGTTCCTCGCGAGGATCGCGTCCTCGTCGTCGGATGCGGCAACTCGGGTACGCAATCCTCCCTCACGCGCGCGCGCGGAGTTGATCGCGATCTCTCGTAGGAATGCCGTTTCGATTCTTAGACGACATTTGACGAGAAACCTGCGAAATGATCCTCCGCACGGAGGATTTGTTTTGTGAGCAATTTAGGTGGCGGGCCGATGAATGTGTTCGGATGGAGCTTAATTTATGTATGTTTGGATTGATGCGTAATTGTTCGTATACGATGTTGCATTATGTTATGCCGACTGCGATTTCATGTGCTGGGAACCACTTGATGTGCATCTTGTGAAATTGCGATTGTGTTTGAGAAGTGTGACGCGTATAATTAGCAATATCGGTGTTCGAGTCGGACGGATATAGATACTTTACTTAGATTCCGCACGGCACGATAGTTATGGCAACAAGGACGAATCGATTGATGCATTCCACCTGGGTCATGGTTTATTCTGTGACTACATTGTGCCTGCAGAATTTAGCGAGGGTATGGTGGATGACGGTTATGAGGACGTGGTGAATATCGATATATCATCGGTCGTGATTGAAGCTATGCAGAAGAAGTACTCTAATCGGCCTCAGCTAAAATGTATCTTTCACGGCGGCTTCCAAATTTATCGTCTACCCTTTTTGTTCCACAGCGTGAACTTTAGTAGATTGAATGCATCCTGTACTTTTTCAAACTCAGTTAGTTGAAGGAAATGCCTGGTCGTGTCCCCTGGAGGATACAGGAGAGTGTAACTGCTTGTTTCGCCTACAATTTACCTATATTTTCCTTCATTACATAGTAGATATGAAAATGGATGTTCGAGAGATGAGCGGCTTCGATTCACGTTCCTTCAACACCGTGATTGATAAAGGTACTTCGTCGGTTACTTCCTTCGATATGATCTGTACGTTGATTGCATCGGCAATAAGGTTAGTCGAATCATCTGCTGATTTTGTTTCTTGCGGTTTTCCAGGTACACTAGACTCTTTACTGGTGAGTGCAGCATGTGCATTTCTTTTAAGTGCCAAAGCTGATTACTGACTGTGATGTTTCTTGGGCAGTGTGGGCATAGTTCTCGGCAAAACGCTGCTAAGATGCTCGAGGAAGTTGGGAGGTATACTGAACTTAGTAAACAAACACGCTTGACTGTTTTGCATGTGTTCAGTGTTTTTCTTGATTTCTTCACCATTATTGAAGCAGTCGATGACAAACTATAGGGTCCTCAAGGATAAGGGCGTCTATATTCTAGTAAGCACATCCCTTACTGAAGATATCACTTTTACTCCTCTAGGCTTCTTTTCATAGTCTCTTATTTTCTTTCCAGTAGCATGATTACATGCGAATTATATGCTGATAATTACTCTCATGGATGCTGCAGATTACATATGGAGCTCCAACATATCGGTTGAACTTGTTGAAAGAGACGGGCTCGTGGACAATAAAACTTCACGTGATAGGTCAGTCAAAAGAGGCTCTTGTTATTACTTACCCAAAATTCGACGGAGTCTTCTCTGTTTAGGGAAATACTGCATACAGATTCTCAAAGCATTGCTATTGGCCTTTTTCCTGACCTCTGACACTAGGAGCGAGCAATCGAGCCAGTTAAACTCAAACTGAACCAAATTGGCCTTGTCAATCGAGTCTATGCCGCTTCACAAGGGCACCGCTGGTTTGTGGGTACACGGTCGGGGAAATGGTGTTGACCGGTTCCATCCCCAATTTTGTATCATAACCCGTCAATTGTGATCAATTCCAGGCCAGTTGCTAGGGGACCCAACTCAGTTTTCGGTTTCAAATACTAGAAACCTACTCTACTTTTAAGTTTTTTAATTTTGAACCTACCCATCCTAGAATCGATCGTATTATTTTTCACAAGGTTGTTCACTTGCCTGTTGATTGCATGAAATGAGCATTGCCGTGTCACTGCTTGCATGGTGTGCAAACCCTATAATATGCTCTAAGCTGCTTCTAATGGATTACGCATAGTTTTTCGTCTGCATCAGGCGATTGACTCTTTGTCACCCTTGTTATCAATTCCGTCATGCAAAGTGTTTTCCGTGTTCTTGAGAGGTATGATGTCGGTATGTCTAAGATTCATTCTAACATGTCTGCAGAAAAGCTTGTTGGAAAATCTGACCATCTATGGGAGCTAACAAACCCCATTCCCTTGGACAATGAAGGAAACTCCGGGGAAACACTGTTGGGCAGAAATCCTGACGTTCACTACATCTATGTCTGTACTAAGGTCGGTTAAGATGATTTCAAATCAGCTACCCAGAAATGGTTTCGCTCGCAAGTTGGAGAGACCCATGCGAGAAAGATGACTTTACCTCATAAGACGGGCCGCGTGAAGCCGTCCTTTTCAAGTATGGTAATATCATTGGTAGCCCTCTTGTTTTGCTCGTTGTCCATGCAGGTAAACTCTACCGTGCACCTAGGAGCATGAAGGGGCTGTTGTGCGAGTGTAGTCATTCAACCATTCTTTTACTTTGTACTTTGTAACAGAAGCATCGTATGTAGAGCCTCCCAGGAGTTTGGACACGTTTGTATTATGATTAATATAGCGATCAACTTCTTGTTTTAGCTTTTGCTTTGGTATTGGAGTTTCGCAGTCTTATTAATTTTGCATACCTGGGGGTGCTGGCCTTCGGCAACAATTAGATGGACAGGGTGTTTTGGTCCAAAGTCTGGGCGTGCACTCGAGCCTAACGCGGACTCGGATACTTCCTCAACGAGCTCTACACGAGCCGGACCTTTATCAGCACGATCAGGATGCCTTTACCCGCTTGCAGACCAGCTCAAAATTCGTCCAATCGATTATGGCTACATCTATAAGCACGTCTAGTCATCTAGCTTGCAGGTTCTGTGAGTGTATACCCTTTTTAAGACTTCTAGCAAAGCGCCGTTAATTAAGGTTAAGTAAATGGGGAATGTAATAAGAGGTCTATGTCGACCACAGACGATGATGACGAACTGATGAAATCAAATGACACCCAAAAAATACTGTACCCTCAAAATCGATCACGATCCTCGAAGAGATGCCCCCTTGGCAGTATGTTTTAGATCCACGAACAATCCGACTTCTCAATGAAAAGTCTGAATCCTCTTCTTCTATCACACAATTAACGCGCCACCTTATTTTCACGATCACATGATACCAAATCGTGGGATCAGGGTTTGGCGCCCAAAATTTACAAATTTTCTAACACTCCACTCATCAGATAAAAAAAGGTACGTGTGGATGCCCCCGAAGAAGCGAAGCAATGAGGCATGCGAATGAAAGTATAATTATCCTTGCCAGAACATAAAGAATCTGTACTCTTGGCAGCACCACCAATCTGCAAAGAACCAAAAAATTTCAATCAGCAAAATATCGTTTTAGGTTGTTAGACTTAAAACATATACTCGAATTGATGCTCGTGCAAGTACTTGTTGATCAAATGTATAAATCCAAAATAAGCGTCTTGTTCATCTTCTCATTGTAATGTATAAATCCCAGATGCAAAGCACAGGGTAATGTGCGATCGCCTGTCAGCCTGTGTGCTATCTACTAGTTACAAAAGCTCATGGAAAGTTCTAATTTCTTCAGTCACTTTCACGGGTTCGTTCAATATGTCGTAGAGAGAACAATCATTCAATCTAGAACGCTTACCTTTTGTTAAATACACAACCAATTTTCTCTTGATTCACGGAATCAGGTTTAAAAGAGAGATCTCCAGAATGTACAGACATGTGCCTAGGCCTCCATTCATATACAAAAAGATTGGCCATGCACATTTAGGTGGGCTTCCGGGCCATCAGCATTTACATTCTGCTCCCTGTTAAGATGCATTTGTTAGCTAGATCAAAATGAGGGCGGCAAAAAGTCGGTGCAGCACTTTGAATGACACCTTTACCTGTTCACCCTAACCAAGCCATGTTTACAGCTTTTTCCCTATAAATGGGTGCCACGAGAAAGTTGACACTGAGAAAGCTCGTCACTCCAACGTGAAATTGGCCTTTCGGAATGTACCGACCTCTTGCTGGAAGCGCCAGCACCAACAGCTAAAGAACCATTCTCCTAACAAAGGCAGGAAAGTTCAGTGATCATATAGGACTAACCTTTGCTTTAACTGCCAGGTGTAAGGAAATGTAAAAATACACACCTTAAATTTCAACTTGCGCTGAAGTGGCTTTTGGTTGACCTCTGCACAAAGAAGTGTCTTTACCATCTCATCCAGTTCAGCCACTTTCCGATTTAGATTTGTTTTGTCCATCTGTGAAGGGAAAAGAGGACTTTAATATGGAACAATGTTTTGGCTAACAATAATGTCCCCTACTAGAGGTACCAGACCTTCAACATTTCATTCTGTGCTGAAAGTAATTGATCCCGCTGTTGAAGTTGCTCTAAAGTCATCTGTGTAGCAAACAAATCTGCTTCTCTGTGGCTTATTTCCATCATGCAACTGGAGAAACAGGATAAACCTTGAGGCAAATGTAGGATTTAAAAAGCAAAAGAAGAAGAAAGAGCAGGAGATGGAAAAACAAGTCTCAAATGTCCATCTTGTAGACAAAGTGTGCAACCACAAAAGGACCAGACGCATTACCTAAGAAATTTCCTATTGCATATTTTCAGAATTACCACGGGAAAGATCGACGAAAGACTACTTTAACTGACCAGAAAATAGACTGACCTTTCTCTTTCCTTAGCCAAATCGTCAATCTGCTTCCTTAACTTTAGAACTTCTTGCTCCTAAACAACATAGACAGCAGTAACACATCTTTCAGAATGATCAAATGAAGCACGCAATAAATGCAAAGGGTATATTTATAACCACCTTTGTGTGGAAATTTGATGTCTGCTTATTAGCTACTTCAACTAATTTTTGCACCTGGTGCTGTTCTATCAAGTTCTGCAAAAAAATCACAGGTCAGAGATGCAGAAATGGTGAATTCACCAGCACGTTCTATCTATAGAAACTTACAGCGTAGTTTGTCATATCTAATTTGACACCAAGTAAATCCCGAATGACATCATGAGTCATGCTCTCTGCTGCAGCCAGCCTAGAGTTGAGCACACATACCTGATGCATCATAGGCTGAGATTATATATGTGTATTAAATTATAAGGCTCAAAACTGGGGAGACTTAAATCCTAATGGAGCTTTGTAACTAATATAAATGAAGTACCACTAGCATGAAAGAAAAATAAAATCCTGGGGAGGGAGACCGTTAGAACTTTTGACCTCATAGCACTAAATTAAGAACACCATTTGATATATAGCATTGTATTAAATTACAGAATTAGGAGAGACACGTGAGATTCTTATCCAATTCACATTTATTAGGCTACGGGAGAGATGGAAACTACTTAACCTCCTGCTGCTGACTAGCTGCAAGTGCCTCCAACTCCTGGATGTGTAGCTTTGCGACCGACAGTTCCTGATCCTTCTCCAGGTTCGTTTGCTGAATTAGACTTGAAATGCATCTGAATGGGGAGCTGGAGCCTCTTGGCCTTGACGAGCTTTTCTCATGCTTTTCAAGGGGTGGTGCTGTTGATGCTGAGCTTGACAAATCAGTCTTTATTTCATGAACCAAGTTCTCCAGGGTCTTGTACTGTTTAAATAATGTTGAGACATTTAAAGAATGTCGGATAGAGGTTAAAACATGATGGATCTTACCAAAAAACCAAAATCTAGATTTAGGATTGTAAATAGCTCAGCATTTTTCGAATATGCATGGAAATTGATCAAAGGACATCACAGCTTGTGAGCTGCTGTTGTTGACTTCTCAACGACTATTTACAAAATGGGGAGTAATGCTAAAGCATTAATAATGGGTGAATGGCAACGTATATGCCAGTTGTCATACCTTTTGTTGATATTGAGATGCCTGCGCTTCAGCATGCAGTACAAGTTCGGAGATGTACTCTTTGCATTGTTTGATCTTTAAACCACAAAAGAATGGCACAGTTTAAGGCAGAGGAAATGACATGTAAACTAGAGATGAAGCACTAATAAAGATTCAGATTGGTTAAAAAAGGATCAGACGATCACCTCTCTCTCTAGTTCCACTCTTTCCTCTCCTAGAAATTTTATCTGCCCGTATGCCTCATGAAGTTCCAGTAACAATGGATATTCATTCCTGCATTATGAGAATTTAGCAACAGAAATAGGAAAAAGTAAAATTCAGAGGCAGGGATGAGAAAGCCAAAGCGGACCTAGGAAGATGATCTTCTGAGTAGCGACCATTTACGCTCGCTAAATCCTGATTCTCTGTGAAACTTTCAACTGTTGCCAGTCTCTTTCTCAAACCCTGGAGTTCCTTTTCCAATGAATCTCGGATTATTCTATGCTTTTCTACATCTTGATCCATTTCATAGACCTAAGTCAGGGAAAAGAGAGACAGAAATAAGAAACTTCCAATAATAGAAGCAACCAGAAGATCATAAGTCATTTGCAAGTTGAGAGGCTCATCAGTAGAGAAAGTGCTTAGCAAGCAAGGGAAGTTATCCTCTTCAAGAACCAAAAATGAATAGAAAAATTCCACTGTGCATTGTACAGAATTTTTTTCAGAGAAGATGATAGATAGCAAGCATGTCACCTTCTTCTCCAGTACGTTAATCGTATGCTCAAGCTCCTCAACAGAATGCTCTAAAATTTTTATCTCCTCCTCCTTTTGTTCAGCCAGTGACTTACTTGTTTCTGACTCCTGCAGAAGAAAATTTTCAATCACCACTATTTATATCTTAGCTACAAGCAGACAAGGTGTCTCAAATGCATACCTGACGAGCTTCAATAGCAATAGCTTCGTTTTCATCAGCTAGAGAATAGGCCAATTCAAGCTTACTAGTCAGGGAGCCAACTTGTTCGCGCAGCTGGTCCCGCTCTCTCACGACCAATTTTAGATCATCTTGAATACTTTCAACTGAAAAAAGTACTTTTCTTTCCATTGTTGAAGTCAAATGAAGAATTTCTTCTTCCAGACCTTTTACCACCTCTCTTTGTTCATCCAGTTGTTTCTCAGCTTCGGATTTTCTTACATAAAGATCTTTCAAAAGAGTCGTCAACTCATCATTTTGTTCTGACAAAGCATCCATCATATCTTTAGCCTGCTCAATCTCTGAAATTTTCCCTTGAAGGGCCTTCTCAGTATCAGCCAGAAGGCTTTCAAGCTTTTTGTACTCAACAGTCATGTTATCGAGTTCACTCATCTTGTTATCCAACTCATTGTGGACTTTGCTCAATGAATTCTGTAGCAGTTTTGTCTCATCCTTTAAGTCCTTGGTGTGAGAAGCTGCTTCTTGCAACATGCTTAAATCAAATAGCAAACCCTGTAAGATAACTTCTTTCCTCTCCAGTTCATTTTTCAGCACTGAATTTTCATTCAGGCAATCAGAAGGTAGACATACCTCGCCATTATGTAACTTTTTCACAACTGCGTATTGATCATTTCCCTGCAGGCCATCATCACCAGTGTTTATGTGGTTATCTCGACCAGTAAAATAAACAGTCTGTAGATCTTCCATCATCCTGGGGTATTCTCGCTGTTTGAACAATTGAAATTCCAACTCTGACCTTGGGATAATATTTCTGTGTATAAGCTCTCCCAAATAACAATGCCATAGCACAAATACTGCAATTCCTCTCTGCATTATCTCTGTAGCTACTTCTTCGATTGAAGCACTTGAGTTGCAAATGAAGGAAGACAAATCCTGTCCCATGGATAGGACATCACATTCTAGGGCCTTGAACATATCCTCCACATGTTTTTGCATCTGCAGGAATTGCCCTTGAAGTAAAGAGAGAGATTTTGCTGTCTCTGCAAAAGCAGAATGAATATGCCCATTGAGTGACTGATTTTCTCCTTCAATCATTTTTATTGATGACTTCAGTTGCTGAATTTCTTGAATCAAATGTTCTTTCTCCACCATCAAAGCCTCACTAGTTTGCCTCCAAATCTCAGCCAAATTCTTTGCATTTTCGTTTGCTTTTAACAATTCATTTAGCATCAAGTCAGCTTCTTTCATGGTTGCATTGGCTTGCTCAAATCTGACTAAGAAACTGCAAGCATAATGAAACTTCTCGCCAGTATCCCCCTGCACCACAAATGAAGCAAAAAATAAGACCTTAGCAAGTCATAAACTGCTTCGATAGTTTGGCATCTTATTAAATCATTTGTGATTAGAATCAGTGGTTCACTTGAAGTAACACCTAATGTTTGTGAAGTAAATTTATTCAGCAGTTCAAGATTGTCGTACCCCTGAATTACAAAAATCCCCTTCATGTTTCCGCTTCAATTTAGTGCACTCAAATTGATGTTTAGTACCTGCCATGTAACATGAGCTTATGAGTCTCTTTGCAATTCCATCATCCTTCTGATAATATAATAATTTGCATACAGTGAGCTAAATTCATTATAGTTTACCTTTTCTATTAGGGCAAGCTCCCATGTCAATTGCATCAAACAGCATCATGAGAAGGGTATATTGTTTGTTGAAAGCATCTAATGTAGTCTCTAATTCCTTCCTTGTGCACAAAATCATCTTATCTTTGTGAACTATGCTCTTTAAGGGCTCCATATTCGCTCCCATCCTGGTGTTACTAAATTGCAAAGCATCATGGAAGTCAGAATTTGTTGGCTGTTTAGGTGCCACCTCAGTACACTTGGACAAACATGTGCTTGGAGACGCACTCACATCATTGTCTGGAACTAAACTTTCAGCAGAAAAATCAGAACTTGAAGTTGAAGAATCAGAACTCAACTCATCCAGCTCGGTCACATCTTCATTTGTCAGAGAGCAGCTACATAGATTTAAGTTCCTGTCAACCCAATTTTTAATGTCAGTCAATCTGATATTTGTTTCTGCTAGTTCATCTTTAAACCTGTTCAGCATGTGACATGGATCTTCAATCACTAGACTTGGTTCTTTAAGAGGCAATGACTTGACTGCATTCTTTCCCAGCTCTTTTAGTTGCAATTTTAAATCAAAATGATTTCTCATTATATCATGCACAAACTCCTTGTATTCATCAAATGACTTCTGAATTTCAGACTGCAGGGAAAACATGAACATTTCCACTTCTGCATAAGATGAATCAATAGCATACTTCGACTCCAGTACCCCCAGTCTAGCTAACTCAACTTGAGCCATAGCATTTTCCAATATCAGAGCATCTGCATCAGCCTTTGTATCAGATAACTCATGATCATCCTTCTCAATGATATTAGCCGCTTGAATATCTTTTTCGATGTTGTTGCTCTGCTTAACATCATGACAATCAGAGAGCCATTTTACAATCAAAAGGGCAGCATTTACACGTTTTTCTGCTTCAGATATCTGATCATCCTTATGTTTTAAGTTTCTCTCAAGAGTCTTAATCATGTCTGTCTTCTCGTCCAACTTCAGATTCAATGCAGCTTCTTCAATGGTGCATTCATCATCCGCTCTATGCTGAGATCCACTTAGACTCATTGTCGCACCTTTCAAGGAACTTAACTTCAGCTCCGTTTCCCGTACAATCTTCTGTGCATTCTCCAAGCTGTGTTGAAGCGACAGAACTGTTTCTTCCTTTTCAATGCAAGCTTGTGCGGCCCTCTCAACTTGTTCACTGATCAAAACTTCACCTTCGGGAAATGAACCGGCAATCCTTCGTATCGAGCCAGATGCATCCTTGAGGGATCTAGTGCCATCTAAAAGAAAGTTCGTTAGTTCTAATATAGCCTTTTCCCAATCTGCAGTGACTAACACAAGTTCCTCCTCCTTGGTTGCTATAGTTTCTCTTAGCCTTGCATTTTCCTGAGTCAAGTAACTTAGTTTCTCATGAAGCTCCAGCTGAAGGGAAGCAACCTCATCTTGTAACTGAAGGATTGTCCTTGCGGTTTCCATCTCAACTTGTTCCATTACTATTTCAGCTTGATTCCTGCCAAACAATTGGGACGCCTGCTCTCCTTCATAGTTGGCTGTCTCAAGGTCTAGCATAGTTCTTTCCCGCTTCACTTGCATAGAATTCATTCTAATGTCTTGACTTACATCCAGAGCTTTCTTTCCAAACGCAGCTAATTCCCAAGATTGACTTCCAGGTCCAAGCAGAGAGCTGTCTACCTTATTTGTCTTTTCTAAAATAACCCTAAACCGATCATTTTCCTCCTGCATATGCTGCAGCTTTTCAATTAAATGCACCTGTTCAAACTCCATAGATTCAATTAACATTCTAGCATCCGATAACTCCTGAAGGTTACTGTAGTGCACATCCAATGCACTGCCAGCACTTTGGCCTATACTGTTCCCCAGAGACTCCTCATCTTCCCTGTTTATCATTTTGTTGCCCGAGTCACTGCTGATGGATATCATTTCTTCCTATGAGAGTGGCAACGAGATCATGAGTTCAGAGAGAGAGAGAGAGAGAGAGAGAGAGAGAGACGGGGATAAAACATCATAGACAACATGTTCATCTTGCTGAATGTGTTCAAAAATATGTCCACATTGTTAGCATCTTAGGGCCCGTTTGGTAACGTGCCAAATAGTGAAAATTTCTGTTCTTTTGTTCCCAGAAATAGTTTGGGAACAGAAATGCGTTTGGTAAACTTTTTGTTTCTCGGCACATTTTTGCAAAAATTTGTGCCGAGAAACAGTTTTGGAAGAGAAACAAGAAGTAAAAAAAAGTTGCTTCTTGTTTCTCGGCACAATTTTGAGAATCAGTTTTTTTTCTTCTTTTTCTTCTTTTTCTTTTCTTATTTTGTGGTGTTGTTCTTGGCTGAGCCGGCCGCCGGCGGCCGGCGATTGGCGGCCGGCGACGGCGACCGGCCACAGCCCGTGGCCGGCGAGGGCATCACGGCCTCGCCGGCCGCCGGCGGAGGCGAGGTCGCCCTCGCCGGCGAGGGCGAGGCTGGACCTCGCCGCCCGGGCGAGGCGGCTCGCCTCGCATCGAGCGAGGCGAGAGCCTCGCCGTCGGTCGCGACGGCAAGGTCGGCCTCGCCCGGAGACGGCGAGGCTCGGCCGCCGGATCCGGGCGAGGCCTCGGCGAGGCCGAGCCTCGCCGTCGCGACCCACGCCGAGGTCGGCTTCGCGGTGGGTCGCGACGGCGAGGCTCGGCCTCGCCAGATCCGGGCGAGGCCGAGCCTCACCGTCTCGGGCGAGGCCGCCTCGCCTGGGCGGCGAGGGTCCAGCCTCGCCCTCGCCGGCGAGGGCGACTCCTCGCCTCCGCCGGCGAGGTCCGTGACGCCCTCGCCGGCCCTGGGCTGTGGCCGGTCGCCGGCGACCGGCGACCGGCCATGGCCAAAGAAGAAAGTAAAAAGAAAAAAAAAATTTAAACAATTCAAAATATTATTTGGGAACGGAAATTTTGTGTAGTTACCAAACGCATTTCTGTTCTTTTCTACTCTAGGAATAGAAATTTTGGACATTGATCAAACGCCTTCAAATACTCAGAAATTGTTTCCGGGCACAGAATCAAAAAAAATCATTTCTGTTCAGAAATAGCGCCCGGGCACAGAATGGTATTCATGCGCACCCTTAGTCTTCCATTTGTTTTAGTCTGAAATGCTGATGAACAGAAGAGAGAACAAATAAATATTTATTGCACAGCACATGATAGACACGGTGAAGGGTGAGATTCTGAAAACACTTGATCAGAATTATCCAAATGGAAAATGTAATTATAGCCAGGTAGGTCTCATTTTGCTAATCCAGGGTAATGTCATTGTAAAATAACAGATATGCTTAGGTCCAATAGCCTGCATAAAAACTTTTGTCGACATCTTGGTAAAAGTGCCATTTGAGATTTTAACAGGCAAATTTGGCTAAATTAGAATGCCAATATAACAAGCTAAGAACAAGGAACTCACCAGTAACGAATATTTATCTGTTGACGTCACTTCTTCAGGATCCTTAGAAGACAGATCCGATAACTGTCGAGATAAAAGGGGAAAAACACATTACGAACATCAAGTAGATTTTGACCACCCTAAGACTACTTCCCTCCATAACTTTCAACAACCTTTGCAGAATCACATGTGACTTGACTGCTGCACAAGTATTTTTGCAGTTCTGTTGGTAATTCCTCAACTTCCCTACAGGCAAAATCAATGGATATGGGAGAAAGAAAAGATAGAGCCACTGGCATCTTTGCAAAATGATAGCTTCCAAAACATCCTTAATGCTATGAAAGAGCCAGTACAAGTTAGATCCTCTGCATCTCCTCACACTTAAAAGATCACGTTATGATGAAAGACGATAATGAAGTAAAACAAAAGACATACCTGCCAAAATCAAAGCAAGTGGTCTATTGAGCTCCAGATGCATAAGTACACTACGAAAAATATTGAAGTGGGAAATCTAATATCTAATATCTATGGCTAAGTTGGTAATGCAAAAGAACAGCAAAGGATGAAAATGCTCTAGTATATTGCCATCATCCGTGGAGGTGATGGGAAGACTGCCAGAGTGTCTGCAGTTACCCTTTACAAGAGTATGCTTGAGCAAGTTACCTCATTAGCCTTGCATTCATTTTGCGGCAGTCTTCGAAGTCCTTCAGATCCTGTTTAGGTAAAACTGCTGAGTGCCAAAGTCTAATAAGCAGATCCAAGTCAAGAAGGGAAGTTACATACCCAGTGCTCCTCTTGTGCATATATAGTTGATTTCTCTTCTAGCTCCAACAGCTGACCAGCCGAGAAAAATGCCATTATGAACTGCATGCTACCATCCCATTGTATAGACCAGAGGAAAACTCAGGAAATAAAAAGCGTATAGTCTCGAACCTGACTGCGCAAATCTGAAACTTCTGCCAGCAATATATCCCGCTCCCTTGGTCCATAAAGGTCTTGATACCTGGCCCAGACAACAGCATCAAATGGGTCACGGTGTGCTCAAAAATCTATCTATTCTTTCATTTAGTTTCAGGGACATTACAACTGAAGTTGCTCCGTGAGCCTATTATTCTCTGCAGCAAATTGTTTTAATTCAGGATTTTGATCAATTCTTTCTCGGAGCAAATTAATCTCTTCCAGTAAAGCCTTGTTTTCCTCCACAAGGTACTTCTCTGAGGTAACTTTGTCATCCACAAGTAACTCGAGTCTTCTGATTTTTTCCTCTCGAAATTTTAAAGTCGTATCATTGTGCTTGGCCTTCTCTTCCCTTTCGTGTGCCTGCAAATATGCACTTCTGCTAATCAAACTAGGAGACACTGTGAACCTTCTATGAGCATTCTCAAGGTGCATCCGAGCACCATGGCTCCTTGTACAGAGGATTTCAAGTATCAGACCAGTATAGACTACTTGCCAAATAAAACATACCAGGCATTTCAAGTGTTCGATTTCATCCTGCAACTTTTTTACTTCCATCTCTAACATCTTTTCCCTCCTCAAGGAACCAAGCAAAGTGGCTACCGAGCACTTCACATCCTGCATTAGCAGTAGTGAATAATTCATGTCTTCAATTAGGAAAGCAAGTCTCCATTGCAAATATAAAGCTTACCTTTTTACTACCAGTGAAGTTCATCTTAGGATTATCAGATTTTCTTTCCCCTAAAGAGTCACACTGCTTAGCCAAGCCACTTAGGCTAGAATCCTCGAGACATTGATACCCATACGACAGAGATCTTGATGAAATCTGATGCTTCATCAGAAAAGACAACTGACCCTGTTTTCATACAGTAAACGCTTACTTTTTTGCACGTCACGATGTCCATAGTGAAATGGGCAAAAAGGAGAAAGAGTAGTCCACAGACGTATACCTTCAACTGTTGGATTTGCCTCTGGAGTGCACTTATGTCACCTGAAGCATCTTCGTTCACTTTTGCCTGAAACATGGGAAAAGAAAGGTCTAAACTCCAAATTTATAAAACAACAATAAAGCCTTATCCCTCGAGATGAGATCGGCTACTTGAATCCCATAATACCATTGCACATCATTTTGTATCAAATTTTCTGTAAGATTAGAACTCAAAATTTATAAGGGGAAAATAAATCTACTGACTGGTACACTCACATTGTTCTGAATGAGTTTCGCACGCTGAGCAAACTTTAGAGTGCTTAACGTTTCATTTGCAGAACTGTCATAAAAATGAAAGTTACATAAAGGAATTGGTTGGCTTCTACAAGACAGTCTTTAAGCAGGACTAGTTGTTCAGGACAAACCATGTAGATGGACTGACATTTGCTATGATCATTGTTTTAGAGTTCCCACCGAGCGAATCCTGCACAAATAAATATCTACAGCACATATTCTTTTATGTAAAAGTACACGTTCAAAAAAGTGGACATACTTAAACAGGATTAGCTCTTGGATGTAACCTGAAGTAAAAACGTGAGCCTAGAATCTCTGTAGGGAACATGTCTATGCTTCCCGTGGGCTAAATCCACCAGAGACATAATCACCAACCTAAGAAGTAAGAACAAATGCTCTAAAATAGTTAAACTGCAGAACAACAAAAATCTTTAAGAACACTCTCAGAGTCGAAATCTCAAAATCCAGATGTACAGAATACATTATACGTTAACGAACGCAATGACTTCTCAGATTATGATGATGCCATGAGTCTTATACCAACCAGATATCATTCCATACTTTTTTCATAAATTGGGCATCCAAAGGTAGACCTACTTTAGCTTAACGTGGAATCATGTTGCAACCATCCAGGACCAAAAACACGAGAAGCAAAGGACATCTCAATGCTACTACTTAGGGGTGCACTTCCAGGCTTTCCAGCTTATACAACATATTCCAAATACCTTTCCACTTCGTGTAGGACTTGGGTGATGTGCAGGTGCAAATAAATCAATGTACCAGTGCCTTACGGGAAACAAAACCTCATAATTATGCAGATGACCTTCCAGAAGAAGTCATTTGTACTGTTAATGTGGACCTTTCCCAAGAAAAGTATATACCAACTGTGATCTTCCCATCAAAAGAAACATTATGGCTTCTCCTCTATTCGCAAACCACAATCAAAGAAGGAATATGTGCCAAATAATCTTGGGAAGAGTTGTAATTTGGTTCATGACCCACACCATAAGGGGTGTACCATGAATGGGAAACCGAGCAAAAGAGAGAAATAGTATGGAGGACAGAGAGTTATTTTGCTTCTATTGTATTAGTTATCATCTCCCCTTTATGACCAATAGTGATGCATGGACTCCTTTTTCACTACATTTTCAGAGATAGAGAATTTCCAGAAGGAATTGGATATGATGAATATTCCCTCGATTTGATAAACTAACATACCCTTAAAATTTACGGTTCGTGACATTTTGAACCTGGTAAAGCATTCGCAGAAATAAACAGAAGTTACAAACTTATTAAGGATTGCAACAAGCCCTCGAAATAATTACCCAAGAGTTGATAAGGACTTATTTATATTTGCTGCTTCTTTCAAACGGTCGCCTTCTGCAGCTGAGCTTTTCTGCCTGCACATTTGAGGAAGTTAAACCAGCATAGCAGTGGAAGCACAAACTGGAAAGAGTGTCAGTTGTGTGAAACAATAGCTACCTCTCAGAACCAGCTAAATCCACTAAGTTCAACCTTGCAAATCTAAAGTGTGTCATTGAATCTTTCTCCCAGTGGCTTTCAATGATGCACGTGAAAACACTGTGCGACCTACTGCTCTCACTATTCATGCGTGTTGCAGCCATTTTTCTGTTTGCAGCACCCTATGCAAAAGAAATTGATTATAATCACCCTTTACTGAATGTGGTGCTTAGTCCAAACAGAACATAAACTGTCATCATAAAGTTCCAACCTGTGAAAGAAGCTTCACAATATCCCTGACAGTTACCACATTATGTTCTTTTAGGTTTTCTACATATACCCCTTTCTTCATGTCTTCTCTGAGCTACAACAAGACAATCAGATTGATGTGCACCACAGGCCAGCAATCTAATGAAATAACACAAGAAAAGGATATGAAGTACTTGTAAATTTGTGGATGAAGGCTCCAAGAGGTCCGTTATCTGCTCGTTGTATATCTCCAAGAAGGAGCATTTGCAGCTGTAAGTTAACTTCTCTTCTTTCATACTTTCTTCATTCTGAAGAATGTAAAGATGTCAGGCCACTAAATTTGGAGGAAAGAGGAAGAAAGCAGAAGGTTGGCAGGAGTGAAGAGAGACGTGAGATAAGTCCTTCTCAATGACTAGCTGCTCTAAAACCAAAGCAAAAGTACATACCACTCTAATCCTTGCAAATAAATATTCAAATATACGAGGAGTTATCCCACAGCCTTCGTTTAGCTTCCCTTCAACTTCATAGATATCACCCATCATGGTATGGGTCTTGCCACTTCCTGTCTGCAAGAAGCAGAGGGTTCACCTTCTATCAACATTTGATATCAGAGCTAGAAAGACCAAACATCCTTTTTTTTTTTTTGGTCGAACAAACATCATTTACCTGCCCATAAGCGAACATACAGCTATTATAGCCAGACAAGCAATTCTCCACCATGGGCAATCCTGCAGCTCTGAACAACTTTTCCTACAAGAAATTTCCCAAAAAATTATCTCTTTGTTTGTAGTATGATGTGTCATAAATGAGAGTAAACCTAATAAAACCATAAGCAAGGGCTAGGATTGGAATTTTGGCCTTTCCAGTTCTACCGTCTTCTTTGATAAATCCAGAATAATCAGTCATGAAGTCATGAAGTCAACAAACAAAATGATGCATCCTCCATATATTAAAATATTAATCGTACCTGCGATATTGTCTCACACGCGATATGATCAAAGGTGAATCTCGTTTCAGGATAACCAAGCCACACCAAAGTCTTTGCACTCTCCTGTCTTATGCACCTTCCATACCCTTGAGAAACCTTCTCCAAGTTACTCAATGGTCGAATCCTTATCAAAACCTGGATCCACACTCCACATACTCAGCAGCACACTCTTGATGATGAGCTAAATCAGCTAATAATACCTAAGAGCGGTGCAGACTAGCTAAATCTATCGAACAGCTCATTGACCAAAAAAAAAGTGAATCAAGTTCAAAACTATATATAAACTTCCTGTCGGTTCTTAACAGCAAAAAGTAATTGAATGACTTCAAATGAAACATGTATAGACAGAATCCGATTGAAACTTTCCAATCTAGATTGGCCGATTAGTGAATAGATATCCTTGAACTTAAAGTAGAAACGGAGCTAGCTGCGAATGTTGAATCGTCGGAGAGTACTTTGCGGCCAAATACGGGAGAAGACTAATTGTTAACGAACCTGCACGTTATTATCAGTCCAGAAGGACGAATTTTCCTCGAGCTCGAAATGCGGAACTTCCAGCCGAGTTTCTGCATTTGCAATCTGGAATCCTCTCGAAGCCCCCGAGTACAAGCTCATTCTCCTATGTCCGGCCAAATCGTTACCTCTAGGCCCAGCGCAGCCCACCATTGCTCCGCCGAGCGAGGCTCTCGAGCCAGCAGCCCTCGCAGGCGTGCTCTGCGCCGAGCTAGGCTCCGAATGCGGCTTCCCCCCGCGAGCAGCCCTCGGCGTCAAATGCCACGCTTCCACCTTCTTGTCCGACGGCCTGCTGGCTCCGATCAGCTCGCTCTTCTCCCTAGCGTCCAAGTCCGGCCCGTGGACCCCGCCGTGGCGCTGCGACGGGTCCTGGATCGCGTTCAGCGGCGTCCGCGGCGGCGGGAAGTGAGCCGCCGAGCTCAGGGAGCCGTCGAACTCGTTCTCGCTCGCCTCGAGCTGCGAGCTCCTCCTCGAGCCGAGCCGGGAGCCGCATGCGTCCTTCGACATCGTTAGCGAGCGCTCTGGACCGACGGCGATGGAGAGATCTACGCACGGAGCTCCGTTCGCGGAGCCGCGAGTTCGCGAGGGAACGGAGGCGCGCGCATGCTCGGCTGGATTTGCTTCCGGGGGAGGTTCGAACGAGCTTGAGCTTGAGCTTCAGCAATGGCGGCGACGGCGACGACGACGGAGGATCATCTGCCGATGGAAACGAAGAGGAAGCTGAAGCTGAAGCGCGGATAGTACACAGTGCTCGAAGTCGAAATGAAATAGAGCGGAGGAAGATAAAAATAATAAAAAAAGAAGAAAATAATTAAATGCAAAAAGGAAAAAGAAAAAGGCCCGCTCGTTTTTCCGTTTGAATTGTGGAGTGCAGTCTGACGTGTCCCTGATGGGGGGCAAAAATGGAAATGTAGACGCGCTGCGTTTTCTCTCTTTGTGGTGAACAAATTTTAAAATTAATTAATTAATTTGTGCTTTTTTTTTGGTCGGATTTTAATTTGTGTTTAATGAGGATAAAAATTGCAAAATTGCATTTCGTTGCCTCCTCTGTTTCCGATTTCTCGTGCTTTTGTTTCGAAAGGAGGGGAAGAGGAGAAAAATTGAAAGGTCGGGTGTGGAAAAAAGCATGAATTTTGAAATTATTAGCGAGCAGGAGAATTTAAACCTTTAGAAGATAAAGTTCAAAATTCCTTTTTAATTATTTAGTCGGTGGAGATTTACTCAACAAATGCCATCATCGTCGAAATTCAAATTCAAATTGCAATGTCATGACCCTCTTTGATTCGTGAGATGAGTCCTTTATTCATTAACAAAACCAGAATTATGCGGTGGCAACCAACAGCCTCGTTATGATGGTAGCATAATCAACTACGAATCACTAATTCCTTTGGGTTTCACATTTTTCTTGTGAAAATTAAAAAAAATTCCTCTTATTTCTATGAAAACCTTTCTATTCATTTGTGTTACGAAAAAAGCTATAGTCGAAATTATCAAGAAATAATAGTTTTTCAATAACTTTACAAGTTTCGAAATTTTTTTCTCATTGTCTCCTTCTCGCCATTGAATTGTATTCTCACATCACGTCCAAACCTATTTTTAGCATGAGATTTTATTTCGTCTTAAATAGTCGGAGTGTATTATATCCAAAAAGAAATATTGTATCTTTCTTATTAATATTTCCCACCATGAAATGTTTTTCCACCTTTTCTTGGTTTGAGATTATCATCAAGCATGTGAGTTTTAATTTGTGCTGCTAAATTTTTCAAAAGCGACAGTAGATTAAAGACACTGAAATTAGAAAAGGTTGGTAAAATTTGGCACCTCGTTAATGATTGCACGCGTGCATTGGTAAATGCATTTCAAAGTTACGACAATAACTTCTCCAAAAGTTTTGTAATCTCGTCGTTTGGAGAGTAAGCAGTAGTATGCCACTAAGTCCAACCGGTTTCGTACTATGTCGATAAAAGTTGATGTGACGATGGAGCATGTCGCATTAAAGATTAAACTGTTCGAATTATCAGAAAATCAATAAGGAAAAGCATATAACATCATAAGCGAGTGTTACAGCATGACTGTTTAGTCACATTTCGAGATAGTTTCGAGATCGCTTATATGATACTCAGGATCTTTGGGATAATAACATAAATGGTCATTGAATTTTCGCCCAATGTGTAATGTAGTCTCTGAACTCTAAATTTATTTAGTGCGGTCCGTGAACTTTATCCCCAATGTGCGATGACGGATTGAATTTTTAATTTGTTAAATATGGTCCCTAAATTTTTAGTACATGTCCAATTTAGTCTTTAGACTATATGAAAATGTTTAATGTTCTCCTTCAATTAATTGAGTTCGGGAACAATATCAAACGTTTTCAAACAGTCCAAGGACTAAAAACATGTACCATTAATAAATTAAAAGTTTAGGGACTACATTGTACATTGAGCTAAATGTTCTCAAACGAAATAAATTCGCGCGCAGCTATCGCGCATCGCGAGACGACCGGTCGAACCGAAATGTTCCAATCCATATCATCAAAGGGGAAAGAAAGAAGGAACTGAGGCTGAGGATCCGAAGGCTTCGTTGAAGGTGGGGGGGATTTCGAATTCAAACGAAATTTGTCAATGGGCCCTGCGAATCCGATCGTGATCTTGTCTCGCTTTCATCCGGGCCCTTAGCAAAGCAGGGCCAATCATGGGAACTTATCAATGATAATCGTTTGATGGAAGACTTTATTTTCAAATCTTCCGAAGACGAGGTTGAATTAAAGCTGAGATTCGTGATTTACATTCTCCAAGTTCAAATCGAAGCGTTTCGACAATTGGTGCAAAAATTCTCGAGGGCATGATGCGATGCGACGGGAGAGGTTATAAAATGTCATGTGATTAGGGTTAATTATCACGGAAAATCCAAAACCGGTACATATGTGATAAATTTACTCAAAATTAATTTTTTGACCGCAAAAAACTTCAAATCGATACATTCGTGATAAATTTACCCTGAATTAGTTTTTTGACCAAAAAAAACTTTAAATCAAGATACCTGTGACAAATTTACTCCTCAATTAACTTTCGTCAAATTTTATCATTAAATTTGTTGACGTGGTATGCTTGTCGCGTGGAAATCCATAGGGTTAATACCATAAAAAACCCCAAACTGATATAGTATGCTCGTGACAAATTAACCGAACAAGTTTAGGAATTTTCGTGATATTAATCCTATGGACTTATCACGTCACCATACCACGTCACCATGTGTAATTCCCGTCAACAAATTTAACGATAAAATTTGACTAAAGCTAACTAAGGGTAAATACATCACAGATGTATCAGTTTTGGGTGTTTTGTGGTAAATTTGTCCCAAGTGTACCAGTTTGGGGTTTTCTCTTATCAAAAAATTAGTTTTTGGTAAATTTGTTATAGGTTTACCAGTTTAAAGTTTTTTATGATATTAACCCATATGATTATGATGTTGTCTACTTCGTATAGACATTAACCTCGTCTAACACGAGACTATTTGTGGCCCGGTGCATTGTCTAGAGTTCACCTTGATAAATTTGTTTCGACCGTGCTAACGTGTATTCTCTGGCACGGTAGAAACTGTCGTCCCCTCTTAAAACTATAGTAGAAAAGCAATTTTTTTGTCGAAGGGGCTTTGGAAAATATAAATGCAATCTAATTTGAAAATTTTTAAACTTGTCAAGACTTTGTGCAATCGAATCCTAAAAATAAATCGATTCGGGTAATCGAGTTCCTCCATTAGCTTTGTCCTATTTGAATGACAGAAAACGATGGCATTGTTTTCTTTTTTATTATTTTCAAGGCTATATGGTATTGATACGGTGCCAAATGGATGCCATGTCAACAAAATCCTAAAAAAAAGTAAAAGAAAGAGAAACCTGAAAAAAAACCAACATGGGAGATCAAAAACCGAGTCTTAATTCGAGGATGTTCAACGGAGTGGCAGTGCCAGTTCCTTGGAAAAGTTGCACAACCCAGGCGACGGCCACCTGAGGTCGCGCGACCGCCCAAGCGCCGCCAGCCTAGGTCGCGCAAGGCCATCTGCCGCCTGGGTCACGCAACCACAAGCGGTTGTTGCCTAGGTCGCGCGACCCATGAGCCGACTGCCTGAGTTGCGCGACCCATGCGCCGGCTGCCTAAGTTGCGCAACCCAGGCGTCGCCGAGGGTCACCTGGCCTCGGACGGCGACTGCTGGCGGCAGATCTAGCTCGGGCTGCCGGCTCCGGCAAAAGGTAGGATAAGTTTTATTTTTTTCAATAAAAAAATAATTCCCAAAGCCCTTTTGCAAAAAAAAATTTACCAAATACTACTTAGCCCAAAGTAGCTTTACAAATGATTTTTTACCAAACGCCACTTGCATTTCCCAAAGAGACTTTAAATTAAAGGTATTTGCATTCCCCCAAGTAGTATTTGGAAAGTTGAACCAAACGGGCCCTACCTCTTCCAAAGCCTTTCAATTTCGCTACGCCGCGCCTAGCCAACTCTACACATCATAAAACAACAACTAAAAAGGCAAATTAGCATTTTTCACAACTCAAATCGAACGATTCTGACGAGGTACTCGATTGCACAACTTAGATAAGTTTGAGGGCCTAATTATATAATTAAAAATTTCAGACTCGATTATATTTTTGTGATTAATTTTAGAATTTTCACTACACTTATCTAATATTTGAATCGTTTCGGAAAAAAAAGCGCATCGTTTAGGGAATTTAGCTCAAAGGTAAAGTGGGCTTGATGCCAGGCATATCCAATTTTTCTCATTTCCGACAGTTTTTTCTTTTCAATTTTTTTAATCTCTATTTTTATTCTTTCGCGTTAATCATTGACCCCGAAATATCACCTTCGGTCTATCATCCTCTTGCTCCCTCAGCCAGCTTCATCGTCTTTCGCATTTCACCCCCACCGCCATTTTTTCCCGCCCGATTACCAGCTCCGCCGCCGCGCTTCCTTCTCGGACCTCACGCTCGCTAGGGTTTCGGCGAGCGCCGGCAACCCGAGGCGCAGCTCCTCCACGCGCGAGAGGCACGGGCGCGGGGGCGCGATGGAGGAGGTCCGGCAGTTGGCTCAGCTCCTGACCGCCACCCTCGGCGGCTCCGGCGGCGGCGACGCCGTCCGCACGGCCACCGCGGCTCTCGATCGCCTCGCGTACTCCCTGCCTCGCTTTCCTTTCCACCTCCTCTCCCTCGCTACCGGTAAGAAATGCTCGCGAATCCGTTTCGCATATCGCTGGTCGCTTGAAAAATTGACCATCGCACTTGGAAGAGATACGGTGTTTCAGTGTGCATTCTGTCCTCTCCCGCTTATTGATTAGGGCGAGTTGCATGTACCTCGGCTTTTTGCCTATTCGTGTGAACTTCAGTTTGATTCCGCATTCGAAAGTTTCTATTCCGATTCTAGGCAGTGTATGCCTGATCTTGTGTCAAGTATCGGTTGCCGATTAATTTCTTATTTCGATGGATAGGCGGTGAAAATCAAGGTCTTAGAGTTGCGGCTGCCACTTACCTTAAGAACTACATCAGGCGAAACATCGGTGAAAATCCGTCATTAGAAGTTGGTAAGGAGTTCAAGGATCAGCTCATGCAAGCTTTGCTTCAAGTAGAACCGGAAATTTTGAAGGTTTTGGTGGAAGTGGTATGAGAAATGTCCTGAATAGTTCTGTCGATGCTCAATTGTGCATCTAAATAGTTCTGCTAGTGATTAGTTACGTGAAAATTATCCTCCTTTGGCAGTTCAAGTTTGTTG